GTTCTTGCCCTTACAATTCTTTTTACATTTTAATCCAGCTGAATGATGGGAGATATATAGTACTGATGCACCTCACCTAAAGAGGATAACAATCAAGGTGCTCTCCCAGACATGTTCTGCTACTGGCTGTGAGCGCAACTGGAGTACGTTCCAATGGTTGCACACTACTAGGAGGAATCGACTCGCTTCTGAGAAGCTTCATAAACTAGTCTACGTTCATTATAATTTAAACCTCAGAGAGCGACAAATAAGAAGGAAGCTTGAAGACTATGGGCCGATAGACTTAGACACAATATTTGTCACAGACACAGCAGACCAATGGGTAGTAGAAGAGGAGGAGCCAGTGTTGCACAAGAGAGCGTTCCTTGAGGCTATCGGTGATGAAGATATCGAAGAAAGTGATGAGCAGCATGAAAGAGGAAGCAGCCAGCCAATGTATCCACAATATGTCGGTGATATTGCACCTAATGAGGGAGAGTGGGAAGGGGGTCTAAGAGAAAATGAGAGAGATGATGATTCTGAGGCCACCCTATCCCAGCCATATTATTCACATATCGAGTCCCAACAGCAACAGTGTAGGGATGAGCACGACAATGCAGGTGAGCATGAAGGATGGACAAGCTTCGGGGATTTTGGATTGGGAACACAACAAAACACTAACACTCAGGGATTTGGGAATAGTCAGACGCCAGCTAATATCGATGATTCGTTTTTAGATCGAATCAATGAATTGTCAAACGAATTCAATCTATGGCACCTGCGTGACCAAGAAGAACAACAACGTCGTCTATCATTTTATTTTTAGATCGTATGTTACTAATTTTATGCTTTATTGTAGTCCATGTATGTTGATATATTTATTCCATGATAATTCTATGTTTATCCTTTTGTGTGATGTAAATTAAATGTTGAATGGCGGTTCATGCAGGGAAAGAACATATCAATATTCGCATATTCATTCAAAAACATGAAAATTCTTAATGGAGTACCCTCATTTTTTATCGAATTCCTAAAAAAAAATATTTATAATGAATTTTAATAATTTTTTCGGATTTTTTTGAAGCTTTATTCTGACCGATTCTCGATCCAGATCGCCGATTCGCCGATCCGGATCGGTTTTTTGAAAGCCCGATCCGGGTCACCGATCCGGTTTTTAAACCATTGGTTCGATCCAAAAACTAGATTTTTGATCAATTTATTGGTCTTTTTTTTATCAAAATTGATTTATGGATTTTGATCATCAAGGTTTCATCTGTCGCATAAAATAGATATGTTGATTTATAATTAAGTAAATATTTTTATATGAATTTATTTATTGCTTGATGTCATGAAAATTTCATAGGTCTAAATTTTTTGCAATTGTTTAAATTAAATAAAAAATACGAAATATGTTTTTATTAGATTTGATGTGTTTGAAAGATGATGGAAGCCTTTACGAAGCTTTTTTCTTCGTGTTCGATCCAAAAACTAGATTTTCGATCAATTTATTGGTCTTTTTTATCAAAATTGATTTATGTATTTTTATCATCAAGGCTTCATCTGTCACATAAAATAGATATGTTGATTTATAATTGAGTAAATATTTTTATATGAATTTATTTATTGCTTGATGTCATGAAAATTTCATAGGTCTAAATTTTCTACAACTTTTTAAATTAAATAAAAAATACCAAATATTTTTCTATTAGATTTGATGTGTTTGAAAGATGATGGAAGCCTTTACGAAGCTTTTGTATTGATTTGTTTGATTTTTCAAACATTAAGGGTCATTTTTGCTTGTAATGTTGCTTGATTTTAGGGGTTTTTAAGAAACCGATTTTTCAAAACAATTTAATTTTACTTAATATTATTAAGTTAATAAAATTATTATTTTTATGATGAATATGAGAAGTGTTTTTCTAATGAGCTTATTAAAATTATATTTTTTTGCTAAAATTATGTTTTACAATAAAAATATGTTTTTTGATGAATATGACAAAAAAATTGATTCTTATTTTTTAAATGTTATTTTTTTTATAACAAACAAAAAAATAAGTGCATGATAATAGCAGTCTTACTTTTGCTTCATTTTTCTTTGTTTGAATTTTTTTTTAAGTGCATGATGTAGTTATCTTTGTAATAATGGAAATGAGATTGTAATTGTAAAAATAATGGAATTGGGATTGTAATTGTGTAATGGAAATGAGATTATAATTGTGTTGGCAGAGGGATTCACATTTTCAAACTTTTTTATTATAGAAAAAATTTGATCTTGCTTTTAAATAACTGTCTTTGATTCTTAAATTTACGTAGGATCAATAATGCTCGATTCCTTCTTACCATTTTCGTATTAGTTGGCGTTTTTACTTGATTTAATAGCATCAAGCTACTTTTGTTATTTGCAAAAAAAAAATGCATAAACTTTCGTTCCTAATTTGAGCGATTTTTGTACAAAAAGAAACTAGAAAGTTTTTATGTAAGGTTCGGGATGAATGCGTTAATTCTTGGAGATGTTACATGACAAAAATATCTTCAAAGAATATCAAAAAAAAAGATTTATATGACCGGCTAGGGATCATGTACAAGACCATAATATTCAAATATTAATTTATAAAAAATTGTTTCAATTTTTTTTATAAGATAAATATATGTAATAAGATATTATATATTTAATTTAAATATTTATATATATATTTAAAGGTTTTTATCCATTTTAAAAAAATCTGCTTGATTGATTAGTTTGGTTAATCACCCTTTGATTCCGGTTCAAACCACTCTCGGTTCATGTTTGATTAACCATTTCAGTTCGAATTTCCGGTTCAAACCACTTTCGGGTGACGTCCGATTAACCGTTCATGTTCGAATTTGCAAACACTAGCGTACAGTAGTGTAGCGTAACAAAACCCTATAAATAAATAATATCGAGTTACCAGGAGTCGAGGCCTATGAAGTGCTACAAGTCCAGGACCATGCTACAATGTTAGGAGGAGTCGAGGACCGTTTAACCTTATTACAATTCATGGGGGATTTAGTCCGAGTCCCTTATTTGTGGGGAACTTGGAGCCCTCCGTTCCATTCCTAGGTGCCCTCGGCTGGTATCCACTTGGACCAGTTGCGCAGAGAGAGTGAGAGGAGAAAAGAGAGGGAAATTAGAGAGAGGGGCTCGATTTGAGAGAGGAAGAGAGAGGGAAATTAGAGAGAGAGGGGCTCGATTTGAGAGCGTAGAAGAGCGAGGCAAATTGAGACACAGAATAATGGCAGTGGATCTGCCCTTAGATGAGAAAGCAAGGAGAATGAGGGAGCTCCTATCGAGCTTCTACTCTCAGAACCAGGCCACCTCCAATGGCGCTATCAAATCTGCTTCATTGGACGCTATTGATTCCCCATCCTTTGATGCTGATCAATTTATGGACCTTCTGGTATTTCCTGTCATAATTATGAATCTATAGAACTACATCCTTCACTATGAGATTTTTTTTTTTTTCAATTTCCTCCATTTCACGTGGACTGGTTTCTTTCAAGGATTTAGGATTTGTAACAAAAACTAGGGTTTATGCAAGTGCGGTTTGTTCTTTTATTGTTGTATTACTGGGATTTGTAATGCATTTGGATTGAATTCATGGATGTTTGACTTGTTTGGGTATATTGGACTTTTCCTTTTTGATTAATATGAAATTGCCAAACTCAGGCTAAATTCTCATGATTAAGTAAAATTTGATCGTGGATCCCAGTGAAATGTATGTTCTTATGCAATGGCATTAGAAATTCTATTATAACTCGTCAAAATGTTTTCTTATTATTATAGTTCCTCAAATTGTTGGTTCTTTGTCTTGATTTGGCCTACTTTCTAGATGATTCTGTAAATTGTCATGCATAAGAAAGCTTCAGATCCAGGTGTTTTTATTTTTTTGAACTTTGATGGGATCAGTCTTGATTAAAATTGTGATATTTGAAATTCAGCTTTCTTTGCCAGTAAATAATCTATTTTTATGAAAGGACTTGATGAATTCCTATCCTAACCAAAACAAATTCAGTAGCAGATCAAATCTGATGGTTTGGTTTCGATAAAGCTGGAATTGGACATATTTAGAGTTCATTTTATACCTGGGGACATTACCGAACCTGGGGGAAACTATATTTGGGGTGGGGTCAGTGTATAAATCTTCTCTCCTTCAAATTAATGTTTCAGGCTCGATACATATTAGGCTGGTTTGGAGTGGTTTGAATTGCCTGATTTTGGTTAAACTGACTAATTATATACATGCGTGTCTGTGTGTGCGTATATGTGTGTGTATGTGGTGTGAGAGAGAGTGAGAGAGAGAGAGCACATTTGTTATGCATCATTGTGAGATGCTTTTGTCCTCTTCCTAAATGCATCGCAATTTTCTAAACTTTTTAAAAACTTGTAGCATTGTAATTTGTCTTCTATTATCTTAGAGATTCCTAGAGATTCCTAGACCAGTCTTTGTTCGGTAAACACAAACAAATTTGAAAGAGTGTCAGTTATACAGGAGAGAAGAAATTATATCTGTTATTGTGTGGTCTCTATGGATTGCTAGAACTGAAATCATGCATCAATTCATGTCATCATCTTCCAAAAATGGCCTGCTTTGTGTAAACTTACTCAATTCCCTGTATAAATGGTAAAAGGAAGTGTAACACTGGGTTAATGTGAAATAGTTTGTTATTTATAGGGACGGATTAAGCCTAATTCTTGGCGTTAGATCGTGTCTAGAGACAAATGTAGTGATATTTTTTGTTCAAGTTGTCCTTAATAGAGATACATATTGTCTAATAAATGGGTCTGTGTTGAATATGAGTTATGTACAGGGTCTTGATCCTAGATCCTCATGTTCTCATTGCTTTTGAAGTTGCCACGAGCGTGTACTGCTTGAGCATTAGGAAAATGGAATGATTGTTGTGGGCCTTGTGGCTGCATATATTTATGTGGAATAGGACGTATATGAATGTGAAGAAATGAAAAGGTAAAACTATTACTCCATTCTTGTTGAAGTACCTTGTACAATCACTCCTGATTTGGACTAGAACTCAATTGTTTTTTTGTTTAAATATGGATGTCTCTGTCATGATAATAAGGCTGCATCGCGCTTCTTATGATTATGCTCTAGATGTGGTTGTACTCTTTCTCTAGTTTCCCTAATGGTAAGTAATTGAATTGATCAATTAAAGTTTACCATTCTGTATGGTTCATTGGTTGTAATATTATATAAACCTTTATTTTTGTTTGGCTTAAATTAATAGCTTCTTTTTACTGTGGAATGTATGAAGTGATGAATAATTACTTACCTTTAGTTGGTATATACAAGCACAGCTCATTGTTTGATATGGCAATCTTGATCTTTTGCTTGATGCAGCCACATTATAGATTATATTTGCCCACCCCACCCCACCCCTCCACAATAATAACAATAACAATAACAATAATAAGGAAATATATTTTCTTTTTTCACAGATTAAAAAATCAAATTTGGAAGGACTCCTTCAACGACATGTTGAAATGGCTGCTGAAATTAAGAATCTGGACACTGATCTACAGATGTTGGTATATGAAAATTACAATAAGTTTATAAGTGCCACAGAGACTATTAAAAGGTGAGAAGTTACTTCTCATCCCTTTTTCTTGTAAGTTGTTGACTTATCCAGATTCTAATTAAATTTTAAAATCAGTATGTTATATCAAGCATCCAATGTACTATGATCATATTTCTCATGTTAACTTACATGGTAAGTCATTGGATATATTTCATTTTCTTTCTATCGTTACTTTATGTTTTACTTGTTTAAAGGGAAAAAGACCATTGAAAAAGCAAAACCGCCTTGCAGTTAGTCATTCAATTTGGTTATGATTTTTTTAAGGAAAAATATACAAAGAGACCATTTATTTTTGGTACAAGAAGATTACAATCACTCTTGTCCGTCAGATTTCTAATTGGGTGGTTGTAAATTTTAAGATTGTCATTGATTAGTCTCAAAAGTAAAAAAAGAATTTTTCGAACTTCGTGACACACCCCAAGCCATCCAATTTGATATCTTATGACTAGAAGTGATTGTGAGTTCCTTCTAACACAAATAAATGGTCTCATAGTATACAATCCATTTTTTTTATTGTACTCAATGTTGGAGTATCTGTTTGGGATCATACATCTTTTGATGTATTTATTACATGAACAAGCATGGCTGGATGTATTTTTCTTTTGGTTGTTCAAATGAATTATGTGTCTATATGGGAATAGAATATTTTTCTCTCTTTTAATAATGCTTGATTTTTTTCAAAGAGTGATCAAGTATATGTCAAGTTGTACTAAGTTGCTTACAAACAAGACATGCAAATGGGGATTAGATCAGAAAGCCAACAATCTGATTCTCTTCTAACGACTGATTTAGCTAGTGCATCAGCATTCCCATTTGCTGAACCAAGGATACAATGAGAGGGCACTTAAGGATCTAGCCCATAGTTGTTGGAAACGCATGGGAACCCGAATCGTTTTAGAAACCGGAATCGCGGAATCGTGGCCGGCTAGAAGATTATTCTCTTAGGAATCGTTGTCCATATAATTCAAATCGTTGGGAACGAGATTCCTAGTTTCTAAGAATCGTGTTTTGACCGAAATAAATCTAAGTTTCATCCCCATATGGAATTAAGATTACGTCCTCCTTGGAATCGAGATTCCCATCCCCATGGAATCGACACTCCAGGAGTCAAGATTCTTTAATATGCGGAATCGAGTTTCTGACATATGTGAAACATAGATGTATTGCTGTTTCAAATCGTGATTCCAACATATTTGGAATCAAGTTTCTGAAGTATATGGATCTGAAATCTATGCCAGTTTGAGATCGAGATTTACAATAATATGGACTATGGAATACGTTTGACGACATTTACCAGGAATCGCGATTTCATTTTTATGGAGAAGGAAGCCCCAAGTACATCTTGAGCCTTATCAACGTTAGAACCTATATTGGATGTCTCTTATTAGAAGGTTTCCCAGATTTTAAAGTGATTGGGTTGACTAATGAACTTACGGTCATTATATACAAAAGATAAGTATTTCTAAATTGTGATTTTGACTTCATTGTTATGTAGACAAAATAGGATTATGTCTACGTCATGGTTTTATTTTTAATTGTATGTGTTGTATTTATTAATTATATTTTAAATTTAAAATAAAGGCCGTCTAGGGTGGCACAAGTAAAATAATGAAACACTAGAACCACTACAAGCATTCGAATGCAGATTTCTATTGCAATTTCCTTTAGGAAGTGCACAACCAGCACAAACATTGGACATTATGTACTTTGTATTTTTTTTTTTTATATTTTGAATTTATTTATTTTTTAATCAAGATTTAATCCTCGCTGGAATCTAGATTCGATATATTTGGGAACATCTACCCACAATTCATGGGTTCAAGTTTCTAAAGATGTGTTGGATTGAGATTCCAAAATTAAGGAATCGAGTTTCCTTGGTTCCGATAAATGGTTTCTAAAGATGTCTTGAATTGAGATTCTGAAATTGAGGAATCACGTTTTCGAAGTTCTGAAAATGGTTTCTAAAGATGTGTTGAATCAAGATTCCGAAATTAAGGAATTGAGTTTCCTTAGTTTCAAAAAACGGTTTCCGTGGAGATTCCTTAACGGAAATGCAGAATCAAGACGGAACTGTTCAGATAAGTTTTCAGTCTCCAAGCTTTCATGAAAATCAAAACAGGGAAGTTTTCCCTGCTCAATTCCAAGGATTTCTTGAGAAGGTCCCAATAATTGCTTTTGATAAAAATGGAAATCCAATTTATGAGCAGAAAACTGTAGATGGTCATAATTGGTTTGATTGTTGTGATTGCTCTACTTGTGTTTAAGGAGATGATGATTTTGAGAAGACACAAAAAGAAAACTTCGTCTCAGCAAAAGCTTCATCAAAGGTTTCTTGATGGAGATCCAACAGTTGGTTTACTTGGTGAACATTCTGGAATACAACACATGATATACTTTAATTCTGTCCATAAAGGTGGATGAAATGGCCAAAAATTTAGAAGATTGGAATCATACCATCCAATGGTTTGTATGGAAGGGTGTTGGATAAAATATGTGGATGAGTCTGGGTAGGTTTTAGGATGAAGGTCTAGATGAAAACTTATGATAAGGTAAGGTTTATGGGGATATTGAAATGATTCAATCCATTGGGTATAATGGAAGTATTTGATAAGGAATTTATAAAAATTCAAGGCTCTGGGATTTGGGTATTGGTAATTGTTCCATTGAAGGAAATGACAATGTCTAAGGTAAGAAATAAGTTTTCGTATATGGAAATTGAAACAGATATGGTAATTTTGGGTAAGGTATCAAAGAAAACAAAGAACTTCTTTTGGCATGTTATAGTAATGTCTGGTTTGGAAAAGAGATAGGAATGGGTAGTTTGGATGGCATCGAATTCCTTGTATGCAATATTCATGATTTCTGACAACTATTTCATGCATCTTTTGTTGCATTATGTCATTTCTGGAATTTAGGATTTTTCTGAGAATGTTTTCTTGAATTTCATCAGGGAGGTCATGTTCATTGTCATCAATGGAGATGATTGCACCCAAAAAGGGAATAACTGGCAGAAGAGTGTCTTCAGAAAATCTTTTTCTTGAAAACATATCAGCTAACATTGTTTTTCCCAGCAATGTGTTTATATTCAAAATTTCATTGGGAAAACCAGTGAGACCATCTGAGAAGTTGAGGGTTCGGAAGTATTTTGTTCTTGAACTTCAACATGTTAGGAAAAGCAGACAAATCCATTTCCACCAAAAATTTGTGTCTTATCAAATGAAATTGAAAATTTTCAATTCCTCTTTTCACAGCTAAGATCTCTTTGAAAGTAGAATGGTAATGGAGTTCTGAGTCCTTAAATTTTCCACTTTTATAGCCACAAATCATTCTCTCATTTTCAATTTCCTCAAGTAAGATACAAGCCCAATATTCATCTGAAGCATCAGTTTGTAAAATCCGTTTTCCTGTTGAAGGAATTTTCAAAGAAGGTAAATTTTTGGATAATTGTTTGAGCTTCAGAACACACTCAGTTTGTATCTTAGTCCATGCTGGTGCTTTCTTTTTTAACAGCAGATAAAGAGGACTAGTAAACAAAGAAAGCTTGGGTATAAAGGGGGACATGTAATTTACAATACCGAGGAACTGCTGAATCTGCTTAACAGAAGTCAAGTTATCAGGAAATTCAAGCAAATGCTTAGCAATATGTACAGTTGTTCGAAACTGGAATCATGAGGTCAGTCGAGAGATTCCGGTAACTATGATCTAGCCTTTTAGGACTTCCTTCAAAATGTCTCTCTGCTCTCCAACGGTATGGAGTGTCCTAGTTAACTCAACCAATGGTGTTGAATTAGCTTTTAAAGCCGAAGTCTAGAAAAAGACTTTGTGAAATACATGTAATCATGTCAAACATGCTTTGGCTTCATCAACTATAGAATTAGTTCTCCGAGAGGTTCAAAGAATATCAAATGAGCTTGTCTTGAATCCTGTTTGACTTTTGAAGAAGCTACACACTTACAATAGGCCTGTGTTCCTGAAGTATCTATCGTCAAATTTAATCTTGAGTACATGAGAGTGGCCCTAGCAACCTCCTTCTAATTGCTAACCAGATCATGCTACATTAACTGCCAACTCCTGGAGCTTCAGGGAAAACAAATCAGAACATTAGCAATTCTCATTCTCATTCTAATTCAGGGCCAGATGGATTGAATTGTTTTTTATGTCTATGTTGTTGTTCTTTGAAATTATTCACGTCCCCTACATTATTGGAGCATTGTGTGTTCCCTCTATGGTGACGCTATTTTATTTTCTCGATTGCATTCTATTTTTTTAATTCAACCCTCTCTACTGACATGCATCAACAAGTGTTAGGTGTAACAACTGTTTTTGGGTGTTTCATGTAGTATCCTCATAAATTCTGGCTTTCATATATTGACAGGATGAACAACAACATTGCTGGCATGGAAACCAATATGGAGCAACTCCTTGAGAAGGTGTTTTGAAGGGTTGTTGTTTCTTTATGTCTTAAGGATTTTATTGTTGTTACTAGATTCATTAAGATCTTGTGAGCATATCAGGATGTTTTATCAAGCCTTTTTAACTGCAGATTATGTCTGTTCAATCTAAAAGTGATGGTGTTAATACGTCTCTTTTTGAAAGGAGAGAGCATATAGAGAAATTGAATCGCACCCGAAATCTTCTACGTAAAGTTCAGGTATTATTATTATTATTATTATATTTCGACTTCAAGGACTTGGCATAGTCACCTCTGGTATTCTTGAATGTTGAATTTTGCAACAATTGTTGTTTGATGATATATTTTTTTCTTTATTTTGAGTAATATCATGGGTTTAACATGTGAATTCTGCATCATTGAAGCCATTGTGAATCTGGAATATAAATGTTATAATTGATACCCACGCATCCTTCTGGCAGTTGCATTTTCTTAAAGTGAAGCTTTTAAAAATTCTTAAATGTCGTGGCTTGAGTTTGCAGTTGCATTTTTCTTAAAAATGAAGGTTCTAAAAATTCTTATATGTCATGGCTTGAGTTCTGAATAATATCATCCCCATTCAGGTCTATGTTACTAGAGGAGATTTGGTGGGGTCTGAATTTTGAATCTCTCCAAGACTCGTTTTAGCCTCCAATTTTCCTAGAGTCTCTCATGAGGAGAATGAGTACAAATATGATTCTCAATATCTATCTCTAGCACATCAAATAGATCAAATCTCTACACACACACACGTGTAGAGACACAACTCTCATTAGGAGACATATATTATGCAGCGCCTCATTTTTTATTTCCGCGACAATAATAATCTTGGGTAACTTTAATATCTGAGCGATGATCTTGTGGTTCCCTAGAATTCAGATTGCAGTCCTTTGACCTATATTTCCTGAATTTTTCGTTTATACACAAAATATTTATCCATTTAATATGTTTGGTGAAAGCAAGTGGGTTACAATCAAGGTGGAATGCTCGGTTATAACTATTCTTTTAAATATTTGTCTGCCATCTTTTATTTTGTTCTATGTCAATTGCTACACTTGACCATGCTTAGTTTACAAAACTGGCTTAGCTCGATTGAATTTTCAATTTACTTTCTGTTTGAGATCTCTTGTGATAGTGCACAACAGAATCACATCCAGTTTTCTGTTTAGCAGTTCATATATGATCTTCCTGCTCGTCTTGCAAAGTGTATCAAATCGGAAGCCTATGCAGATGCTGTGAGGTTTTACATTGGTGCCATGCCTATCTTTGAGGTTAATTTCTTCCCATGGTCTGGTTATGAAAATTTATCAGACTATGTTCTCAATGGTTTTCTTCCTTCTTATGGTGCTCACCAAAGCCCATGTTCTTGCCTCAAGGAGGCTGGGTCTAACACAGTGTTTATGTTGATCCAGGCTTATGGGGAGTCATCATTCCAAGATTGTAAGAAAGAATCTGAACAAGCAATGGCAATCGTTACTAGAAACCTCCAGGTATCTTATGCGTCATTTATAGACTGCATTTTCTATATTTTTTGTTTATTTTACTTCTTTAATGAGATTATATTTGATCAAGAAATAAAAACCCCCAGGTATGCTCTCATCTTCTGATTAATGACCGGCTCGAAATATCTACTTTATTGTAGTCGTAAGATGATCATCTTCTATATGATTTTGCATGTGGTTTCCATTGTTTGTTTGCTTTAATTATAAATAATGCATATGTTGGTTGTTAAGTAAAGATAGGTGGCCACAAAGCTGTTTGGGATTGATTATGGTATCTCCTTGGTTTGTTTTGTTTTCTGATTTTAGTTACACATGTCAATGCTTGCTGTACCTGAAAAGAAAGCAAATGTTTTCCGAGTATTTATGAACAGAAATTTCACTTAGGTAGTTGCCCAGGATGGGCACCTTCTATCTCCAATCCTACTAAACATGGGCATACATAGTTTAACTTTACTACGTATTTGCAGTAGTTTTATGAATTTGTTATTATGAGCCTTTTGATAAGCTTCTTACTTTATGTGTTACATGTTGCTGCTAAAATGTTGGATTCAGGCAAAGCTTTCTTTGGATTCTGAACCCGTAGAAGCTAGGGCAGAGGCTGCTGTGCTTCTTAAACAATTGAATTATCCGGTTTGTTTTTTGTCTCCGTCTCACCTTCCCCGCTATCAACGTTTTTGAGAAGAATCTCTATTTCATGCTTTATTATTATAGTCTTGGTGTTTGGAATCATAAATTGTGTATATGAGTCATTTATGTGTCATGTAGAGTGCTCCTCTTATATTAGTGCATACTAAGATAAAACACATGTATAGCTGTACTAAGAATATAGTGATTCTGCCTGCTTCTTTTTTTTTTTTTGGCTTTTCTCTAGTTACCTTTAGTTTTTGTATTGCATTATTTCAGTCCCTGGTACTTTAGCTGTTTAAACGAATAAAAACAAAAGTTCTTCATATTCTCTGTAGGTGGATGACCTGAAATCAAGAATACTTGAAGAGAAGTTGGAACACCTGCTATTGGCTCTTCAGCATGAAGCCAAGGAGCCTGAACCTGCTCCAATGAGTTCAGATGTGCCCCCTGTAGTTGGAATGGGATCTGTGTCTCCAGACCCTCATTCAAACAAGGTATTTATTTATTAAGTTAGAGAAATTTTAAAGGAGATTTGTAGTAGTTTAAGTTTGCAACAGGACAATTTTAAGTGACTAATTCTGAACATGTAAGCTGGTAGAGACCTGGTGGCTTATACTTCAGATAATAAATAGTCATTTGATTCAATTGGTGTTCATACTATATCAAGCTATTAAAACAATTTTTTCATGTATTCAGGCTTTTTATGAGTTTGCGAAGACCGTCCGCGCCTATAGAGTAATATTCCCAGATTCAGAAAGACGTCCCATTGAACTTGCACGCAATCTGTTTTTGAAGTATGGTTCTTCAGTTATATTTATATGTTCTCTTAACTTCTTCTGATCATATAGATTGAATTATTGTGGCTGAACTATCTGATTTTAAACTTCAGGTTTCCTAGCTGGTATAAGTTTCGTTTTTCCGTGTTTGTAGGCGGTTTGAGACCATTCAGAAACATATAGAGAAAAAGATTTCTTCTGTGGATCTTTTGGCAATGTTACGTGAGTACATGTGATTATAATGTATGGTGTTGAACATGTTAAATATGAATAACCAGTTTATGTTGCATTGCATTAACTCGATTTTCTTAATTTTCCTTTTGTTTAAAGGTTAATTATTTTGTTTAATGAAATGGATTTCAAATCTGGGAAATGATGCATCCTGTAGTGCATTATCTGCACCATCAATTTAAATATTTTCAAGCGTTTATAGATCTACATGATTTATACTCTTTGCAATAGCCTGAAAATTTAGTTTTCATCTCTAATTATAAAATTTAAAGCTTCAAAAATAGTATAAATCAAGTAGATCTATGATGAGTTTTT